TTGTACCTGTATGTCTTGGGACAGTCGATTTGTTTTTTCAACATTGTTTACTTTTGACCAACAACCATCTCACTGCCCTCTTTACTCCGTTACTTTCTGTATTCACGATTGCAGTGAAATGAATTTACTTACTGGTTGCGTGCACAACCAAATCGCACAATTTTATCAGGTTTTTTTTAGATAAATTTTAATTACTTGGCAAAAATATAAATCTTCAATTTAAACTTGTTTTACACGAAACTCTGAAAATTGTTTTCTGAAAGATAATTTATACTATTCTATGCATCATATGTTTTTTTAATCAAAACAATTTCAAGGAACTGACAATGACAGACTCACAAATTGCACAATATGTTTTAGAAAAAATAAAGAAATAAATGGTATTTTAATTGGTTTTACTTAACATTGTTTGAGTGAATTTTGAAATAAGTTTTACTGGAAAAATAAACTACACACACAAGAAGTAATTCATGTACATATTGACATCATAATAGCCCTACAGTGATTGGCTCCAGACCTCACTGGGATAACCATGCTGTCATGTTCACGTTAATTGGTCAGATATGCACCAATCATTACGACCTTGTAATGGCCGTGGACAGATATAGCGGGGTACCAAGTATAGAAAATCTGGACTGGACTCTTTAAAGCTCTGGAAATAATTACAATCGATGTATTTTGGCTTAAGTAAACTGGAAAGCATCTCAAATGTTCTTAAAAACAACTACATGTTCTGAAAACAAAAGTAAAGACATCCTAGTGATTGAATATCTACGTAAATATTGCGGTAATGTTCAAAACCGGTCTGTAGACGGTAGGTGCACAATATCCGGAATGACACGATATTTTGTAGTCCGCTTTCTTTTTTCAGAAAAGACACATGTCAACAATGTTTGGATTACAGTTTGATAGAATACTTTACTTCTTCCTTTAATTTGCAATCCGCACAGTTACATCACACTTTAGGACACTAGAGCTAACCCACACTTGTAACTGAAACATGTTGCGTAAGTTTCACTATCTTTTGGCGAAATCCTTAAAAACACGAAGAAATCGTTAAGAAACTCACATAAATTTTATCAACGTTAATCTAGTAATTCTTATTGTTTCAGTAAAATATGTTGTGTACTTCTTTTGTTGGGTATCAAATTCCTCAAGGGGTTTTCGTCAGACATGACTTTATGACCATCATAATCACTTGTGTTGACCGGACCATCATAATATGCTGTGTTGACTGGACCATCATAATCAGCTGTGTTGACCGGACCATCATAATCAGGTGTGTTGACCGGACCATCATAATTAGTTGTGTTGACCGGACCAGCATAATCAGTTGTGTTGACCGGACCATCACAATCAGGTGTGTTGACCGGACCATCATAATTAATTGTGTTGACCGGACCATCATAATTAGTTGTGTTGACCGGACCATCATAATCAGCTGTGTTGACTGGACCATCATAATTACTTGTGTTGACCGGACCATCAAAATTAGTTGTGTTGACCGGACCATCATAATTAGTTATGTTGACCGGACCATCAAAATTAGTTGTGTTGACCGGACCATCATAATTAGTTGTGTTGACCGGACCATCATATTAGTTGTGTTGACCGGACCATCATAATAAGTTGTGTTGACCGGACTATCATAATCAGCTGTATTGACTGGACCTTCATAATTACTTTCGTTGACTGGACCGACTTAGACTGGGCAGTCTTTTCCAATCTTTCCTTGTAGGTGTGGTTAATGTTCCAGACCGTTACTGGGATGTTTACTGTCGTCAGATAGCCCTGTACCACTAAATAGCAACAGAAGGGGTAATTAGCGGACTACCCAGGTGCAGTCGTCCATTTCTTATCTCCAGTTTTGTGCGAAAATGGATCTACGTACTGTGTATAACAAGTAAAATCAATTTATCATTACCAGGAAGATGATAATTCCCATCGAGAATTTCATTTGGCTTATATCAAGAATAATCATGGCAGATAATTTGCTGTTGATTTATAAGAGTGCAGTTACCATTTTTCAAAGATTTTAAATAGGTAGGCTTAAGGTCAATTGACAAGGAAATTAAGACAATTCATTCTCATATATGTATAGAATATACACTTTCCCAGGTGGCGTGCCATTGACCTCGCGAGACACCCCTAGATTCAGTATTAATAGTGCCGATGTGGTGTGGTAGATCCTAGCGAATTTTGTCAGGTTTCCACAAAGTGTGGATGGATCTATTCATTTGTTTATGAAAGTAATTAGGTCCATAGAAAACAGGATCGCTTAGTAGCTCTAAATCCTATAAGAGTTAATTTATTAAATGTTATTTCATGGACTGATGTAGCGTGATTTCGAACATTATTGATAGATTTTATCCTAAATAGTTGAATATTAACACTAATATTTATATCTATCGATGTTTACGCAGTCAACCCCCAGACTACTTTGTTGCTGTCGCAGTGTCAATGACGCCTAAATGGCGCCACCTACTGTTCTCTGTATAATATGGCTGTTCAATAGAACTTGACTCTGTAATAACGATATATATAAGGTTATTAGCTTTTAAACGCTTTATGGATGGAACTGCACAGAAGTATATTCATACTGGGATAACTACGTATTTTACTTATGTTCAGTTGTAGTTAACCCAACATAACTACACGTCGATACAATTACAGCAAATAAAAAATCAACCTTTCAATTGTGATGCAAAGGTTCACATTTTCCTAAATAATTCATTTGCCTTTATCGACAAGATTTCCCAATAAAGGTATTAGGAGAAAGAACATGAACGCAGAGGCGTTCATAATATTAAGTTACATGTGTAAGGAACGACAACTCTACATAGAAATATGGTTTTCTCCTGACTTCAAACATCGTCATATACATTTTCTGAAAATGTGTTGTCTCGCTGTTAATCCATAGTTCAGGGGTTCTTCATCTCAAAATTCCATGAAATCACCTCGGTATCAAACGTTCCTGGTGCTGTGTGTCGCACTGTACTGGCCACATCGAGAAGAGACTTGAAAACGTAGCAGTGTTGTAAATGTCAAAGTTCAGCGTATTCGTCATCGCTGTCGATTGCATTATTGTTTACAAAGATTGCGAGGTTCTCTTATGTATCTTTGAGTTCATCAATCGGTCTTAAACTTAAATGTCAAAGACAGCATGTTTCTATTGTCAAAATGATGGAGACTTGCGCTTAAATGTCAGACACATCCCTCTTGTAATTGTCTTAGAACAATTGTTTTGAGGTTAAATGCCAGCATGGTTCCTTGCATCAGTCTACGGCTTTGTAAACTGTTTTGACACAACTCATTTAGAATTTCGGAAAAAGATCCTCAAATTCTTGGCCGCAGATCTTGTTGTAATACGACATAATGATGATTCAGTATGCCAACATGGACAGTCTTATTATTGATAAATAACTATAACGTTATACACAGTTTACGTGTACACGGGAAGACAATAGTCAGTGTAAACTATATAGACGATATAGTTACAACATATTTGGTAGCGCAGTGGTAACAAACTCGCCTTCCGCCGTGGCGGCAGGGGTTCGATTCCCTGATCGGAGGTGAAAAGTTTACGGAGCCAAAAGACCGCCACGTCTGTTATCAACGGGTACTCTGGATTCCTTCCAAAAGACCGCTTATGCGTTTCTGCGATTTCCGAAAACTAAAGTTTTGAGTAAAACACATTCATTCGAGAAAATAATACACTTCGGGACAATGCCATTTAGTTTTAATCAAACAACATACACCTCGTATGATTGACACTTTTTTAAGTATCAAATTTCGTTCCTTACAGAGTATCATTTTTATAATACTACACCTCGTTGAGTCGTGACATAAAGCAACGGATTTCGAACTTTCATCAAAGTCCTGCTTCAGAAATGAACAATTTCAGATATCTACTTTATCGCAGTTTTAAGTATGTATTGCTGTGTAAAAAGATAAATGGAAGATACAAATCAACCTCTTCCTGCAAATCAACCATTATTAAATTGATATTGCTTTCCCATGAAATTGAAATGATAAGTATTGATTGAAAATGGAGAATATTTGTATTATATCTGTCGAACTCCCCAACCCCTCAGCCCAAAATACATATCTAAATATCAACTTCAGAACTTGTATCGCAGCGGTAGAGCTCTGTTATGTACCACGTCAAATCACAGGTTCGCACGTGCATAGGCAGATGCACATGGGTCAACGCACTACCACGTCAACAAACGCCTGGTACCAATATCTCCTTACAGATATATATTTTATGAAAAAAAACGTTACCTTCGCTTTCACAAATCAAGGACTTCAACAATTTGAGGGTTGAGTCTTATCAGACAGAAACGCGCTAATTTTATTTTGGATGTTACGGTAACCACTTAAAGTGTTCATTTGTATCTCATACAGACGTTTTAGTGGAGAATGAACCTGATAAGCTGTTCACACCTGTTGTTAGCGTCTACCTGGTAAGTAACTAAAGATACACTCCGACCCTCTTAGATATCACCCAAAATGACAATTATACGGAGATGTTTAAAATTTACGTGTTCTGTCCTCAGATAGGAATCCCGTGGTACATAACACCTGGCATACCCTACATACCTTAGCAACGCACGTGTCAAAATGCTAACATAGTTTATAACAGTCTTCCCATGTAAATGTGTCAGCCAGCCGAAGTATCGGGCTATCAAAGTGAATGAAAGGCGTGGAAGGAGGGATGATGGTTCACGGTGGGTCTGTTCCTGATTGACCCCAACTGTCCGAAGTTAGAAGGCCATCACCACACCACAACAGAGCCGACGCTGTTGATTGGCTGCCCCGGCTGTGATAGGGTACGTGTGTACCGGTGTAATCTCGCGCAACGTATGGCAGAGTCTGTCCTGCGGTAGATTGCTGGTGACGCTCCCGAGTGTGTGCAGTAACACAAACTGTTTGGAATTAAATCACATACATACCGAAATTATGACACTTTTCTAAAACTTTTTCTGAGAGATAATGATATGGCAATGGATGATTGTACAACTAATATCTGGACCCGTTCTCGGTTTGTTGGATCCGGACAAGTCGCTCTAACCGTCTTTGTTACGATCTTCAGTAAGTATATTTACATGTTATCTTACGTTATAGACACATAGTCATTGAAAGTGTAAACAATATACAGTAAAACATTTGTAAGTCTCGCTCCAGCGGACCATGAGTAGTCAAAGACAGATTTCACGAAAACAACACTGTTTTGCGTTAGTCGTTAGGTGGCGAAGACTTATTAAGTTTTTGCGTGTATTTCAATAGTTATATGCATGCTGAGATGTTTTGTAGATAACCGTTAATGCTATATAAGTCCGTCTTAAGCTTTATGGCCTTCTCATCTGATACTCCCAGAGTTATCGCTAGCGGCATGTTCATTTTGACAACACTTACAACTTAAGATACCAAATCAAATATCCACCACTTACAACGAGCGATACCTTTCAATACTAGACAAGCTTAAACTTTAGAAAATTGACGTTTTTCTATGAAAAAAATGTAGATAAGTTTTAAAAGTGAAAATTATACGACAAGCCGTCTTAAGAGACGTCCCTGTTTTAACACGCTCACTAAGCTATGTAATTGGGGCAAATACGGGCACGTGTCGACGGTGGCTCGGTTACACGTTGATTGAATCACAGCGTGACCCCATCACCCTCTCTTCCTCTCCCTTCACTTAAAGTCCCTGGCATGTAGGGCCCTTAGATAGAGGGCCAGTCGATTAGCCCTTTAGTCTGTGTGATATTGACACCAATGATTTGGGTATCCATGGTTCATTAGTAGCCGTTATCAGAACGATGGTGGCGAATCTCCAACTGTGAATTGTCTTCTTGTGCTTGTCAAAGCATTGCACGTGCAAATACACGTCATTAATCGAGATCGTGGCGTGTTTCTTTGATCTATGTTTCATTCAGTCTTTGTGTAAATTTCTTGTATCCGAAAGTTTTCTTTCAAACTGTTTATTTATCTCTGAATTGTACCAAAATAACCTATTCCATTTTTCCATCGAATTTTCCATTCAATCGCCTTTTGCTGTTCCGTATTCGGTAACACGGTGACGCCGCCGGTAAACTTGAAGGTGTTTTAAATGTTGGATATAGCAATATTACGTGCAGACCAAGTCCCTGTGAGACTCTCGTGAGGTAACAAGTGACAAATTAATTGTCTGCTCTCGCCGTGCACGCTTCATTTCACGCACAAAATCATGCATAATTCACTGTTTAGACTAAGATAACGTCACGATTGTTTTAACACCAAATATAGAAAATAGCGTGCAGTATATTGCGTTGTAAGATGTTTTGGGGAGGCGGGAGGAGGGGGAAGGGGGTTGGCAGCTTTCGTCCAGACATTAGTAGGATGGAGATCGATGGTCGTTGATCTGTAATGTCCAGGCGAACACTTCAGCAACTAGCCGTGTCTAGGACAAGGTTTTTTACAACATAAGACAAAGGTTGTTGAATGATCGGAAGCTGATTCCTGAGGTGTCACGTGTCCTTGGATCGTCAGTTACACTATACATAATTTCCATTTCATGACATTGCCTTGATGTAACCTTACCAAAGTCGGCTGTGTAATACCAGCTTATACAGTTCAAAAGACATAGTAATACTGTACATACATTATATGTAGCAATTGCAAAAGTTGGGGTAGCCTTCAAGACGAAAATTTAAAATGAGTTGGCATCCATTGGAATTATGAATGCCAACTGGATACAGGAAATATCAACATAAAACTCCTCATTACATTGACCTTATCCTGTTGGCATTCAAATACTCGTGAATGCCAACTGAAAGCAGTGCAATACAGAAATATATGTTACAAGGAACGTTTCTTAAACAAAGAAACAATTTATCACAACATATATATATTCCACTTATCCTAAGGATCGCAAATTTATACATTTAAAGCAAAACTGACCATATTTAGGAAAACTCGAGCGTACTACACTAACTACACCATATATGTATAATCTGTATGTAGATAGCATTACGTACACTATAACACCTTATGATACTCTTACGGGAAGTTATCTACCCGCGTATTCAGAAAATGTTACTATCAAAAACAAATTGTGTAGTCACAGCTCCTTTCTCAATAATGATATCATATTCTCTCACAAAACGTGTAGTCACAACTCCGTTCTCAATAATGATATCATATACTCTCACAAAACGTGTAGTCACAACTCCGTTCTCAATAATGATATCATATACTCTCACAAATCGTGTAGTCACAACTCCGTTCTCAATAATGCCATATACTCTCACAAAACGTGTAGTCACAACTCCGTTCTCAATAATGATATCATATACTCTCACAAACGTGTAGTCACAACTCCGTTCTCAATAATGATATCATATACTCTCACAAAACGTGTAGTCACAACTCCGTTCTCAATAATGATATCATATACTCTCACAAATCGTGTAGTCACAACTCCGTTCTCAATAATGATATCATATACTCTCACAAAACGTGTAGTCACAACGAATGTATTGTATGATATATATATATATATATATATATATATATATATATAAATGTTGTTTCAAAACGGGTACAACACTCAACCGAGTGATGATTTAAAATTCGAGCTTTTCAGAGTTACCTTTATCCATAGCTAACAAGAGTTTACAGTTTGTATGGATATATGACTCCGTCATTTTCCGTGTTATTCTTGAAATCTTCTTTGTTCAAAATATATGGTCTCTAATGTAACGTCATGATGAAATCCAGTTATACATGACGTCACTTTATCACTATTTCCTGTATCGTCACATTAGGTAAACTCGACAATCATTTGATGCTTTCGCTCTTTTTTAATTAATTTGGCCGGAGCGAACCCCCATTCGGAAAGGACAGTAGTCCGAGAATAGATCGTAGGCAGGAATGTATATGGAACTATTTCCATTCGAGTTGCGTCAGTTGGTCCGTAGTTTGCACTTCGCCGCCTACAATTTCTGATTTTTATTGATACCTCTTGGGAAAGCAAAGTGTCGCGTGCTGAAATCGGATCACGAGTTATGTTTTATATAGAGTTGCGGTTCAATGCTTATTCGCCGCTATTTGATTGCTGCAATAGACAATCATCCCTTATATACATATATATCACAGTTTAATACCCATTATTTCTCCCTTCTCTCAATTCATCGCCACTCGATGATTTGCATGGCTATGTACTATTTCCTTCTTGCTCCGATATTTCTCTCATCCGTCGCTTTATGTTTTTTCTCGATGTTCCAATTGTTTCAATGTAGCAAACGAATTACGTCATTACACGTGAGAGTATCACATTGCATTCTAATTAGATCAGTATCTCTCTTTATATTGTTACAAGGAACACTCTTGATGTTCAGTTAAACAAGTAACTAAACAAATAACTTTGAATTTAGATTACAAAACAAAGGTTGGTGTATATTACGGTATGTTTGGCGGGGTTGTCAGTGAAGTTAACGTGATGTTGAAGGACAGCTCTACTAGTATCGATATGTTTGTTTTGTTAACAAACGTCAGCACCCTGTGCCGTGTTGTCAGTTCGCCTGCACGCGAACGACGTTTACTCTCACGTGCAGTTCCTTATATCTTTGTCAGCTCCAGTGAGCCACATACGTGGAAAGAATTGCAGATATTTGTTATACTTTGTCTTAATTACTTTCAGGGGAGTTTCACTCGTAAAACACCATAAGAAATGGTCAATCTGGCCGAGAATGTAGTTTTATCGGAGTTATTCCCAGTGTTGTTGTACAAGTTAGTGGCTATCAGTGCGATACGACCAGGTCAGTCGGGGGTTACAGACTGACCAGGGCGGTACTAACGCCAATTTTTATAACTTTGACCATAATATGACCATTGAACAGAACACCAATTCAATTACTCGCCAGATTGTGCACTCGGCTGTTGATGTGGACCATGTCTCGGCTTTTACCTCTTTTTTAGTTTCCAAATTGATTAGGTGGTAACCAGAGCTGTTGATGATGTCGTCAGCGGATTTTGTTTCTTTACAAATTTACGCTATAAAATATGACTTGTCACTCAGAAACAAGCTGGCGCCATCTTTCTGAAACCGTTTCTCTGCACTTCTTACTCTGCGTTTTTTAAGTATTCCCTTGACGTATCAAATCAAATTCCAATTGAATTGTTCACCATTTAGACAATACATGCCTTTTCATTATAAAAACAGACTTAGATCAAAGAGTAGATCACATGACTGTTTAGGTACAATTTAGTATGATAGAAAGGAGAATGTTTGGATTTCCGATAACCTGATTGAGAGGTTTGGGCAAGTTATTGAATTATCGGAGCATTATTGAGAAAGTTGTTGCTGTTGATAAAACCTCAATACTTTTGTTTTGTTTTTGTTTTTGTCGACTATATGACAAAGATTGGGTTCTGTTTTGACAAATATGAAAAACGTTATTTATAAACTGTTTAAACTGTTGATATTTCAGGAATTATTTTCTCAGCATTATTTCTCTATTTAGAAAAGATGCAACTTGAAGACTTTATCTAATTTCTTTCTACCGTTAACTCTTTTTTTATGAAACGCTATTATGTATGATTAGGTCAGATGGTGCTTCATATTTAAGAAAAAAAAACTTTTGTTAGTTTTTCACGTGAAATTTAATTCTATTATGACACAAGTATATAGTTACACCAAGGTTGTCTGTTCATTTTTTGTCTTTATATCTATCACTGGACTGTAATACGAAGTTTGTGGATGTTAATATTTTAATCTAATTTAATTAGGTGTCAATATTGTTAAAACTCTCAAATTATCAGATGTACAGAATCGTATTACAACCATAGCAATTATCATTGTTATTAATTCACGTTCAAAATGTGAGTAAAATTTCGATATTTTCTGTCACTTCTGAATTTATTTATAATATTCATGAATTGTAAATAAAACCATCAATTTTTTGTATGATGAATTAGCCAGGGAAATTGTTGATAAGTGAGAGCGATGAAGTGAAACTTTTTTAAGATATAACAGGCACAACACTTAGCACGTGCAGCCAGGATCGCGTGGAAATTAGAGATTTTTTTTTATCAAGCCCAGACTCTCACTT